AGAAATCTCATCCGACCGTCACACGCATGCAGAATCAATGTGACCCTATTTGCCCAGAAGAGCCAAGTGTCCAGGTCAGGGAACAGAGAGTCATCAGGCCTCACGCGCACCGATGTCGAGCCCGTAGGACCACCTGCTGAGCCAAGTAATTCAGAGAAAACGCCCGATCTTGAGAAGGTCGAAGAACTTTCCCAGAAACCATCAGGGCCACAAAATTCAACCGATCCAAGCATCAGGGTCTTGCTGACACCTTCACAGGCACAAGACCTGGAAAATCCAGAGCAGTCAGCCCGATTCAAAGCCTTGTCAACGGAAGAACGGAGTATGTTGCTCCGAGCACACAAGAACCTGGGACATCCTAGCCCTGAAAGACTGAGCACTTTGCTACGTAATCAGGGGTTTCGTTCTGAGGTAACACAAGCTGCTCTGGACATGAAATGTTCCGTGTGTCAAGCGCAGACAGCACCCAAGATCGCTCGTCCAAGTGCCATCCGAGATGAAATGGATTTCAATGATCGAATTTGTGTTGATGGGGTAAAGTGGACTAACCAACAAGGGGTTAACTTCCATATGTTTCATGTGGTGGACTGGTCAACCAGTTTTCAAGCTGCGAGTTGTGCACCCGATCGATCCTCTGGAGCCTTCATCCAATCGCTGATGCAAATGTGGTTCAGCTGGGCTGGGGCACCAAGTGAGATGATAGTTGATGCAGCCTTTGAATTTAACTCCGAAGAATTTTCCACTTTTGCACAATCACACAATATCAGGGTAACGACAATCAGCACCGAAGCCCCATACCAGAATGGCAAAGCTGAGCGACACGGTTCAATTTTGAAAACCATGCTATCCAAATATGAAGCAGAACATCCAATCACCACATACCGAGAACTCCAAGATGCCTTATGGTGGTGTGTTCAAGCCAAAAATGCCTGCAGCCTGAAGAGAGGGTACGCACCTGAGGTATTAGTTTTGGGAAAGCACACTAGGATACCTGGGGCAGTATGTAGCGATGAGCTTTTGCCAGCACACCTTCTCGCTGAATCAGAGACGGCACATGGACTTCAATTCAGAAAACAATTGGCATGTCGTGAGAGCGCTCGTCGAGCGTATCACCTTGCCGATAATGATGCGGCGCTCCGAAGAGCCATCCTGAGAAGATCCCGTCCAGGTGCCGTGGCGTATAAACCTGGAGAATGGGTCATGGTGTGGAGGCCTGGAAAAGGAAGCTACCCCGGGATTTGGTCGGGACCAATGAAAGTGGTAGTCCAGGAGAATCAACAGACCATATGGACCACCGTAGCTAGCAAGCTGTTTAGAAGCTCACCAGAACACATCCGACCTGTGACTGCGTCAGAGGCACGAGAGATTCCCATGATTCCAAATGAACCATCAGTTTCCATCATTGCACAACAAATTCCTCAGGGAGCACGACAAGGAATTTCCAGAGTCATCGATCATCAACACGAAGCTTCCATTAACTTTCCATCCCAAAGTAATGATTCCCATAATTCACCTCAAAATAACTTGAACAATGAAAATGACAATACCTCCGACATCCAACCAGACCTGGAACCTGAAGTTCCATCATCACAGAATCCCGAATCCAACGCCAGTGAACATGATTCCCAAGAGCCACCACAAAACTATGATGCCACTCAAAATACTACCAATGAAATCACAGATCCAGCAATCACTACACCAGTTCCTGATGAAGAAAATGATGATGATCTGATATGTGACAGCCTGATATGCCATGACATTGACCCATGCATGTTTTCCGACCAACCTGACCTTGCCTGGCGCCTGGAAATTGATGTCAACCAAAAGGACATCGACGCATGGCGGCAAGAAGAGATCCCACAGGACATGGCATTCGTTGTTTCAGCGGCCAAGAAACAACGCTCAGAAGTAAAATTGTCCTCACTGAGTCCAAGAGAAAAGGAAGCCTTTCAAAGGGCAAAAGAAACTGAGATCGAGAACTGGATTAAAACTGGTACAATCTCCAAAGTCTTACGGGAAAAGATACCCTATGACCAAGTACTTCGTTGTCGATGGATCCTAACTTGGAAAAACATAGACTCTGATGACCCCAAAAAGATGACCACCCAAAAGGCTAAAGCGAGACTAGTGATCTTAGGATACCTCGATCCCAAACTAGAAGAGTTACCCCGTGACTCACCAACCTTGGGTCGAATCTCCAAAATGATCTTGTTACAGTATCTTGCTTCAAGAGGATGGGACCTCAAATCTTTTGACATCAAAGCAGCGTTTCTTCAAGGAAAGACTCAAGGTGACCGAGTTTTAGCAATTGAACCAGTACCAGAAATCATCCAAGCCATGAACCTGAAACAGGGAGAAATATGCAAATTGGAAAAAGGGGCATATGGCCTGGTAGACGCACCATACTTATGGTACGTTGCGATCACCGAAGAACTGCAAAGATTGGGATTCATTTCCAGCCCGTTTGATCCATGCATGTTTGTTCTAAAGCATCCTCAACACGGCACTGTTGAAGGAGTTCTGGGATTACATGTTGACGATGGAATATGTGGAGGCACCCCTTATTTCAATTCGGTTTTGGACAAATTGGAACAAAAGTACCCTTTCGGGACCAAGAAAATGAAACAGTTCACCTTCACAGGCATTGAGATGCAACAATTACCAGACCACAGCATTCACATGAGTCAATCCAAGTACATCAGAGCCATCAATCCAATTCAAATACCCGCTGAACGCAAAAAGAGTCCCAATGCAGAGGTGACCGAAAGCGAGAGACAAGATCTGCGTGCCCTAATTGGGAGCCTACAGTATGCTTCAGTACATACGAGACCTGACCTTTCCAGTAGGTTAAGTAACCTTCAGTCCCAAATCAACAAATCCACTGTGGAAACATTAATCCAAGCCAATCAAACCTTACACGAAGCCAAGAAACATCACGATACCACCATCAAAATACAATCCATACCTATTGCAGATTTCAGGTTCCTTGCCTTTTCTGATGCTTCGTTTGCTTCTAAGACCAACCCCAATTCACATACAGGGATGTTGATCATGGGGACCCACAAAGACATTGAAAACAATGTCTCTTGCCCTGTGAGCCCCCTTGCTTGGGGATGCAAGAAGATCCAACGAGTGGTGACGAGTACACTGGCTGCCGAGACCGTGTCGCTAAATTCCGTTCTGGACCAACTGTCATGGATGAGACTTTTCTGGGCGTGGATAAATGATCATACAACAAATTGGAAACAACCTGCACAGACTCTCAAGTCATTACCAAATACAATATCCACTTCAACTTACAGAGCGCAAACCATAACAGACAGCATCACCGCCACAGATTGCAAGTCTTTATATGATTTAGTCACCAGAACTGCGATGCCAAACTGTTCAGAGTACCGTACTCAATTAAACGCCAGATCCATCAAAGACTATCTCTCAGAGGGTGTCTCTCTCAGGTGGGTTCACAGTGGAGCACAGTTAGCCGATGGACTTACGAAGATAATGGAAAATGCATTCCTTCGAGAAACACTTCAATATGGATACTACAAACTTCATGATGAACTGGAGGTTTTGCGTGACCGAGCAACAACTCGAAACAGACTGAAGTGGCTACGCTCAGGGAATGAAGAAATCACTGACAGTAACTCAAAGAAGGACAATTCAACGTGCAACGGCCATGTGCAGCAAAGTGGATGAATTTTTGTTTCAAAATTTTTTGGAATTTTTGGGAGTGTGAATCATACCATTTGCTGCACCCTTAGCCTTGTTGCCTTGCGGAAGCCCAGGACTTTCAACACAGTTTCCCATCAGAATGCATCTGATCCGGTAGCACCTTTACAGGCTCAGGGAGCCCCATTTTCAGGACAGTGGGTAGGGAAGGGATTCAGTGCTTGGCCATTTAGCTTTGGTAGGGCGAGGCGCCCTTTGGAAAGACTGATAGGGATCAGCCGCATTGCAGGTGGCATAGAAGCTGGAATCATTTACCATTGCCTGTTTTTGGGCGTTGTGAAACCTTGGAGCCTTGCGATCGTGGAAAAGGTCGCTGTGTTGAGAAGGAGCTGCCAGTGGGGTTGGACATCTCTTGTCAACCACAATATTAGTATATAATTATATACTATCATACTTATATCATACTTATATCATACCTGTATCATACTTGTATCATATTTGTATCATACTTATATAATACTTGCATATAATACTTACATAATACGTATACACTACTTATATAATACATTATAATACGTTTATATATAGTACTTACATAATACTTACATAATACGTATATCATACTTAAGAATAGTTACATATAATATATATATATATATACAATACTCACATACTACGTATATCATACTTATAGACTAGTTATATATACATATATACTACTTATATACCCTCTGGTAATTTGTTACATAGCTATTGAAGCCATGGCCCAGTCGAAATAGTTGATTTTCCCATTATGGCCATTATCAATAGCTATGTAACAAATTACCAGAGGGTAATACATTATATGTATATAATACATGATACATATGTAAGTATATATTTTTTTTTCTATACATACCCTCTGGTAAACATACAAAAAGCTATTGAAAATGGTGATAGAAATAGTTGATTTACCCAGCTAGAAAATGGTGGATCTTTCCAGTTCGTTATGTGGCTGTTTACCAGAGGGTGTATACATGTATATATATATACTATCATGTGGTTGGGAAACTCCTACTAGCTCCAACTGGCTCCCCATTTTTCATAGGGAATATGGATAGCCCTAGCTCCTCAGCTCCCTCCGTTCACCACTGGATAGTATGTATATATATATATATATATCCCTGTTTTTTGGTTGATTGAACCCCTATAATCACCATGAAATACCATGAAAAACCATATTAAACCACCATGAAATCCCATTAAACCCAGATTTTTTCTATGTAAACCTCCATTTTTCCTATGGGTGAAACACCCTGAAGCATCCGAACTCACATGACAAACCGAAGGGCGAAGGGATAGTCGTCCAGGGCCATTCCCGTGGTACCGAAGCCCAAATCCATCGCCTCTGCCGCGAGAAATCCATTGAGAAATCCATGGGAAACCCTAGAAATCATGGGAAAACATAGGAAAATATAGGAAAAACATAGGAAAATGAGGAAAAACATAGGAAACTGTGGAAAAACATAGGAAATTAATACTACAAATGGAGGTTTATAGGAAAATCAACGACTTAAATGACGGATTTTCAATTGGGGTTCCAAAATCAGCCATTGCTCTGGTGGGTGAAGTATCAAAAAATGGGCGTGGAAGCAGAATATGAGGACCGAACTGATTTCCAACACATGGATCTGAGGATATCTGTTGCGATAGGGGGATAGTTACCCTAATCCTAAGCATCATAACTTGCTGTCGTGGTGGCGTCCTTGCATTTTTTTCCAGATTATACTCCATTATATCTCGTTGTATATCTCGTTGTATCCCATGATATATCCCCATGACTACCCAAAATTCTGGTGTTCATATCCATGTATCACAATGTTCATCCCATAAAAAATGCTTGTAAAATGCTGACAGTGTCATTTTTATACCCTCCGGCAATCAAACATGGCAATGGAAAATTACCACTGGGAGGTTTCTAGCTGGGGAAATCATCACTGGGGGAGTTTCAAGCCATATTCGATTATCAGAAGGTCCACCATTGGGGAGAAGGCCTCTCGGAAAATCACGGATGTCAGTGTCAAAGGGACATCCCTGATTTCATATATATCCTTATACATACCAGATATCCCATATATGTACCATACATGAATGCATATATTATAATTATATATATATATCATCTACGGTATACCATATCTGTATTTATATATATATATACATATCATCTATGGGCTACACCATTTTTGTTGCGGAACAACCCCCCAAAAAGTCCACCCCAAACGTTGGGAAAACGCAAACGCCTACGCCAACGCTGCGCCAGATCTGCGCCTTGTACGCCAGATCTGCTGCGGAAGGAAGGATCTCCGCCCGCTCTTCTTCCAAGACATCCGGGTGCGATCTCATCCTGAGAGGCACTGCCGGTTGAAGGATTACAATGTTAGGGGGGATGGGTTTGTACATCAACAAAGATATAAAGGTATAAAGAGAGATATATATATATAAGTTATAAAGTTATAAAGATACCAAAATATAAAGATATATTTTTTCTCATACATGCAAGTAATCCCTACTCCCTAATACTAAACCGCCCCCCTAATAATAAACACAATGTTGGGGTTTCTCCTTTATGTTCCCATCCAATTCTGGGATCATTACCATTACTCCCATTACATTCCTATCACTTACTCCAAAACAATTCGGGTAGGAATAGTCACCATTCACCATTCATCTCTATTAAATGATAATATACCCTCTGGTAAACTCACAGTTTGCCATTGAAAATGGCCATTCAGTTTGTTGATTTACCTATTAAAAATGGTGGATCTTTCCATAGTTTTTGGTATGTATACCAGAGTGTAATCCCCATGAATTTCCATGAAAATCCCACAATCTACCCATTCAGCAAGGCGCCAGCAGCACTGGATCTCCTTCGCTTGAACTTCCCATGTTGCTCTGGAAAAAACATGTGGAAAGTATGGGAAAATGATCTTCAAAACAGTGACTTAAATGGTGTTTTGGCCAGATTACAAAGCAAATCCACAGATATCTTCAAGTATGTATATACTGTATGTATGTGTATATATATATATATATATAGAGAGAGAGAGAGATTCAGATATAGATGTATACTACATACACAGCTCGTAGCTACTCCAAAACAATCCGCCAATTCCGCCATTTTCCAAGGATCAAATGTTTCATCTTCTCATTCGAGACATCACCTTCCGAGTCCACCGTCATGGCATGATATTCTACATGATGCGGTTGCTCAGCCGCAGCGCACACGAGGAGTGCCGCCAAAGATAGGCGAGCCAAAGTCATCGCGTGGCGATTGCAATTGGCCGCCCTTTTTGGCCAAATGGGAATGAAATTTCTCAGAAAATGACCTATGCGTCAGAGCCAAAAGGCTGTGAGGAGAAGTGCAATTTCAGCGAAGAATCGCTCCATTCCCTTTTCAGGATCAACTTCATCAAGTCTTGATGTTAACCCATGTAAACCCATATTTTGATGGTAAAACCCATGGTACCCCCATCTGGTTGGTGGTTCAAAAACCATCTTGAAAAATGATGGAGTTCGTCAATGGGAAGGATTATCCCATATATTATGGAAAAAGAAAAATGTATAAAAATGTTTTAAACCACCAACCAGCCATATGTTCAAAGAAAAAACAGCATCCTTTCAACGAAAGAACTGATGAAAAACTTCGACCAAGTTCCCGCGCCACAGATAGGCTCTCCGCAGCCCATGAGTTCATTCCATCTGGCGATGACGCTTCCCCAGATGGTGATTTGCAAAATCGCAAATGGGTTTACTATGATCCAAATTAATTATATTATTGGATTAGAATCACAATAAATTTGCAAATCAACAAGATCATTGGATGATTTCTTCTGATTATAATCCAATGATCCCCGATGAAATTTTCTCCCATGAGTTTTCCGTGATACCTCCAAATAGATCCCCATGATATCACCCATCACAAAGAATGAAGCTTGGTTGCTACGGATAGTCATCACCAAAATGACTCAAAAAAAATAGAAAAATAAAAAAAATCCTCCTAAACAAGGGGGATGTTTCACGTTTTCTACTTTTTTTGTGGGTTACTATAGAATGGTGCCCGAAGACTTAAACCAACCAGTGGCCGGGCTATTGATCCTGGTTGACATTATAGGGTTTCCAGTTTTTTCTCAGGTGTTTGCATTCTTTAGATTATATATATATATATATAGTATAGCTACCCTCTGGCAATTTAATTTTGCTATAGAAAATGGACCATGTATAGATGAATTACATGACCAATAAAAACTATGATTTTACATAGATATGTTAAATTACCCCAGGTAAGAGTTATGTTCGAATCATTCAACAGCCAAATAGGGTGTCGGCCAATTTTCCCTTCTTCACTGTCTGAAACTTCTTTATCTTCCGTGGAAAAAAAAAACTCGAATTACATGCGCAGATGCAAACCAGAAAGGCCCAGTCATAACCCCATCCAAATATAGATTATTTAACATAGCCATGGAAAATCACCATGTTTAATAGTAAATCATCTATCCATGGGCCATTTTCCATGGCTATGTTAGTCATAACCAGAGGGTATATCCATGGATATCCAGCCCTTCCTATAGGATTTCTGCTGAGATATCGATGGGTCACCCCAAAAAGCCCATGGAGAGATGATCTCAACATGGGCCATGCGAAACAGGGTGCTTCCGAAGGCTTCCAAAAATGTTGAAACGTGGTCCAGCGGGTGCCATGTTTCACATACCCATCATGTTGGATGAAATATCAATTTGGATGCGTTTCATCCAGTTTCATCAATATGTTTTTTCTGTTGCAGCAAGTCCAAAGTTGGTCGATTGGCTTTGTCCAATCATTTGTGGTGCCCCAAAATCGATCTTAAATTCGATGTGAAATCATGGCATTCCCATTCAACATCCTTTTCCCATGGTTATAGCCCGTTAACAAACCCAAATAGCACATCAAGTTGGTCATTCCTATCCCAAATGCATCCTATGCCCATGATCTCGGTTTTTTTCTTTCCCACATTTTCTACAAATGTTATAAACAGAAACAGAAAACCATTGCCACTATTAAAAAAAATTGTTTACTCAGATTTTTCCCATTTTTTTGGGGGGGCCACGGAAAAAATGCAAAAAAAAACCAGCGATCAGCGCCCGAGCCCCGCAGCTCCGCCCCACCTTTGCGATAGAAGTGGACCGCCGGCACCGACAGCTCGTGGCACCGGACACGCCGCGGGCGCCGAGTGGTGGCGATGTCGGTTACCCCCGGTTGCTGGGTTGCGGTTGCTGTGGCTATGGGTCAAATCATGCCAAAAATCCATAGACCAAATGGATCCAAATAGGTCAAATGGGTTGAGGTTGATCCACCTACAAAAAAAAGATCTGTCTTGAAAACTCATTGAAAACTCATTGAAAAATGACAAAAGGGTTGAAATGCGCAAAGGTGAAGCCGTGTCTAGTCTGGGTTGTTTGTTGATTCCGTGAAACTACCTTGAGCCACATCACGTTGTGCAGTGCATCTGTGGATCAGGGGACATAATTGAGGTATCCAAACTGGAGGTGCCCACTATATGTAAGGTCTATGGAAGGTATATGTGGGGAATGTCCAAAATATATCAAAATATGGCTTTAGATGGTACATATGGTACAGTAGCTCAAGTTTGGGTACCTGAAATGGGGATTGGAACATCATCCCATTAGACTGTAACTGGTTAGTTGATAGCTATCCATCTGGGTCTGCAATGGGGTATACCTCAAACTGCAACTTTGATGAGAAAAATCATGCTAGTTTTTCGATTCTCAGACAAATTCGTAGGTTAATTAGGCTAACCAAGAAATATGTTCTTAACGGCATAGTGACACCAACCTTGGTGAATGGCTACCCCCGGAAAAGTCGTGGGCTTGTCCCATTTGTCCATGTGGTTAAAAATGAATGGTACTTATGGTTGGCACTGGTGCACTTATGGTACCTGGTGATGTACTAGAATGAAGTTGCGCCATTGTGGTTCTCTCGAGAAATCCTAGTGCCCAGCGCCCAGCCCCTTTTCTTCTCAGCGAGCACTTAAGAGGATGCCGCCGCCCGCCGAAAATTCTCTGCAAGCGACAAGCAGCACCTGGGGTGCGACAAGTTTCTTTGCAAAAACAATGCCTTTTTTTATACCCTCTGGTAATTTAACATAGCTATTGAAAATGGCCATTTATAGTGAGTTTTCCCATGAAAAATGGTGGATCTTTCCATAGTTTTTTGTAAACGTTTACCAAAAGGTAATCCGCGAGTTCTGCAGAGTTTGACCATGTTTCAACCAAAAAACTCTGAATCACCAAAAGCAGACTATGCTGTAAGCTACGTCGCGTAAGTCCCCCTAACCCGAATCGCTCAGCGCTCAAAACTCTACACAAATTCATGATCCACACCATGGCGGGGATAGGTCGATCCCAAAGTCTTTTTTAGGCCTTGTCATTTGGGTTTGTCTGAAAATAGGGTATATTCCCAATTATAGCCATTTAATAGGGATAATGATCATTAACCATTGGGTTTAGGGGTACACTATTTTCAGACACACCCATTTGCAGCCTGTAGTTCTTGTCCTTCAGCTCTGGACCTGTACCTGCATGAGACAAGCAGCACAGGTCTGGTGTTTGAGACAAAGGGCTGGTTTTTTTTACCAATGTTTTTTCCAACTACAGGAAGCAGCACACAAAGAAATGACCGCCCAACTGAGCCACCAAGTCTCCCAACAAAGCTCAGATTTCTTCCTGCGCTACGGATGTGGATGAGAATTTGGTCCAAATCTGTAGCCCTTCAAACATCAAGTTTCCGAGTCCAGCAACGAATATGTCCTCTGCACATGCAGTAAAATGATTCTCTGCACTGCAGTGGAAGCGGAATTCGGACCCTGCACGCGGCCATGATACATGCAGGGCGTGCAGTCCTTCGCTGTCGAATCTGGGAGTTGACACTCGAGGGCGTTCAGCTTTTCCTTCTGGAAATGATTGTGCCCCAGAATTTGCTGAATGCACCCCAGAAAAGTTGCCCAGAATGCCACTCCATGAAATACTTCTATGACAGATCTATTGTCATGTCAGTTGACACCATGCCCTAGGTTAGGTTCTTGTCTCACAGGAAAAAAAAATGTGCATAATGGTTAGTGGGCCCAAATACTGCAGAAAAAAATCAAAGTGGTCGGCCCGGAGAGTGCTCCCGTTTCGGTGAAATGGTTACTTTCCAACAATCACAGATATCCTATTTTGACATCACAAACCATCACAAATAAAGGAGGAGTGCACAGCTGAACCTCCAGGAAGTATCATGCAAAATTCTGCTTCAGAAGTTCAGTGCGCTCATCACTGCAGTTTTGTTTCATTAGACTTGCAGTTTTGTTGCAGCTCCTTGCCGTCAGCAGCGTGGCCCCGCTCCAACGGAAGAAACCCAAGGACTTCTGCACCTTCGGCAACAACGGTGGGGAAGGATGGTAGATCCAAGATCAAAAAGGGACATTACACTGCGATACTGATGTTGATATATTTATCCCAGGTTTTAACTCAAGATATCATTTTTGATGAGCTGCAAAGGTTCACCTGTTCACATTGCCGGTCGAATGGTGAGATGTCGGGACTGACAAGGGACTCAACCCGTGAGGTTTCATGGCAGATGTCAATCCCAACCCTCAGCACGGGCCTAAACTTCCGAGTTGAGCTTACTCTCCTTTCAAGGAGACAAACCGACCCATCTGTGGAATCTGCGGACAAACTGTCATCTTTGCTTAGGACCTAAGGACATTGCTATAATCTCATTGTAATCTGTTCATAGAAAGGCTTGTAGATTATTGGGATTCAAATCAGCCACAAAGCGCCAGGCGCTCAGGTTATAGCGAAAATTGAAATGCGCGCCATTGCGCACCAGCTTCACCAAGTGATCAGCTGGGTGAGATGCAACAAAGATTGCCAACGCTTAGGGCTTAGGGGAATGCCCAAACGACAGTCAAGAGAGGACACTGCGCAGCTGTGGTGGTTTCAAGCTGCATCTTCATGTTCTTGACTTGAAGCTCTTTTTCGCGCCACCAGCAAAAGCCATGTCCAGTCTCGTGTTTGGATGAGCAAGAAGTCCATGAGACTCCCTCCAGTTCTTAGGTGCGACATAGAAGCCAGCTTCTTTTAGCTGCTTGGTATTGTAGTGTTCTTCCAATTGCTGGCGCTTGAAATGAGACTCTTTGAGCTCCTTGGCGGTGAAATTGGCTCGTTTCAACCTCTTGACATCAAAATAAGCCTGCAACCGGGCACTTGTGATGCCAGCTGCTTTCAAACTCTCCGGGCTGAAGCCAGCATCGATGATCTCCTCTGCACTGTAATTGGATTTCAAAGATGATGCTTCGCAGCCAAGCTTTTGAAGCTCCAAGGCGGCAAAACCCGCACTGGCAAGCTGCAAATCAGTGTATTCACCAATAAGCTCCGATGCAACGAAACCAATGATTCTCAACTGCGCGGCTGTACAACCATCTTCCTGAAGCAACTTGACTGTAATGCCATGTTCCTTGAATTCTTGGGCAGTGAAGCCAGCTTCTGCCATGGCTTTGGTGCTTACAGCATCTTTGACTTCAAGAAGAGTGAAACCAGCATTGCGAAGCTCGTCACAACTGTACCCCGCCCTGGCCATGGATTCGGCATCAAATCCAGCTTCCCTCAGCTGGCAACCAGTGCATCCAGCTTCTTTGAATTGCTCCGCATCTGGCCCATTTTCCAGCACTTGGATAGCCATCCCAGCATGCAATTTCTCGGATAAAGTGTATGCACTATCAAGGAAGAAAGCTTCACTTTCTACCTCGCGAAACTCTTCTTTTTCCAAATTGTTGATGGCATCGAGGACTTCTTGGGCAGATTTGCCTGCTTCTTTGAGTTTCCTGTATACACACAGGCATTTTGCAGCTGTGGCTACTGCATCCTGGACTGAAAATCCCCAAGCCTCCGCACATTCAAACGGATAGACATGCCAGAATGCATCCAGCGTTTTGCCAGCTTGCAGCAGCTCAGAGATTGAAAAGATGTCATTCCAACTCTCAACTGGACAATGTGCACACAATTTTCCCAGGTCTGTGCTTTTCTTGAAGTCGATGAAAACCTTTGTCCACTCTTCCCTCTCCTCTTGGGGGAGATCTTGGCTCAGCCTCTTACCTCCCTCTTCGATCAAATGATCCAATCGAGATGGGAAAGCAAGCAAGTCACGAATCCTGCACCCGTGATATAGAAGCTGTGAAATGGAAAATGCACTTTGAAAATCCTTTAAAGGTACTCCATCGTTCCTGAAGTCAGGAACTTGAAACACTTTCGAATTCTTCAATTTTGTTGCTGTGAGGCCAGTGTCAAGCAATTGTGATGGTGTGTACCCGTAGGATTTCAGCAATTTCAAGCGGAAATTGAAATTGTGCTGCTGCAATTTCCGGGCTGGTAGCCAGTACAGACAAAATGCCGTTTTGAAAGGGCGTCGTTTGAACATCTCTGCGAATCGGCTACCCATCAACACCACAATCACCTTTTGCACAACAAATGGGTCCATGCCTTCCATGGGCATGGCGAAAGCAGGGCTCAGTGTGCTATGTTATAGGGAATAAAAGGGAACTTGAGCCTGCGATACATCAGTAAAGCCTCAAATCAATTTCCATCCAAAAGTGGTAAAAGTATCCAATTTTAAATTTTGGTCATCTTCAAAATGACCTTAAATATTCAACATTGTTAACAATGAATCAACCATTTCTAGCTTTTGCACACAAAACAAGATGCAGCCCACGAACCCGAATGCAGTCACGTAGAGCACTTTTGTGAAACAAGTTATTTGAACAGTCTTGTACATTCTTCCCTCTTGAAGCACTAGCGCGCTGTAGACTGCGGAATGCGGAAGAGGGTGGAGTGCAAAGTTTGGAGGTTGGAGTGTGAAGTGTCTTAAAAGTGTGTTGAGTGTGGAGTGTAAAGTGTAGAGTGTGGAGTGTACAGTGGGGAGTGAGGAGTGTAAAGTGTAAAGTGTGGAGTATAGAGTGTAAAGTGTAAAGTGTAGTGGTAAAGTGTAGAGTGTAGAGTGTGGAGTGTGGAGTATAGAGTGTAAAGTGTAGAGTGTGGAGTGCAAAGTGTGGAGTGTGGAGTGTAGAGTGTGGAGTGTGGAGTGTGGAGAGTAAAGTGTAGAGTGTGTAATGTAGAGTGTGGAGTGTAAAGTGTGGAGTGTAGAGTGTAGAGTGTGTGGAGTGTAGAGTGTGGAGTGTGGAGTGTAAAGTGTGGAGTGTGGAGTGTGAAGTGTAAAGTGTGGAGTGTAGAGTGTGGAGTGTGGAGTGTGGAGTGTAGAGTGTGGAGTATGGATTGTGGAGTGTGAAGTGTAGAGTGTAGTGTAGAGTGCGTAACGTGTAGAGTGTGGAGTGTAGAGTGTAGAGTGTAAAGTGTGGAGCACGCAATGCGACATGTCTGAAGTGCTGCGCCTGCCACGCAAAATGATGACAGAGATCTCCAAAAATACTGCGCCTGTCACGAAAAGTGCAACTCATCTTGTGAAAAAACGACGCAAACAGCTACAACAAGTAAATCGCAACAGAATCCCAACACATTATAGGATACTATAGGTGCATTGGTTCTTTCATACCCTGACCATGTATCTCATGTCTCCACACGTCTGCCTTGTAGAAGCTGTTGCTGTAACACTGTAACCTTCTTGTCATCAATGCCCGGCGTTGTGCTATCCGCAGCCTGAACGCAGTCCAGCTTGGCTGATGCTCGATCTAGAAATTGTTGATGCTGGTAACACTCAAAAGACCCAAACCTGGTGCATTCCAAAGGCTGCAGTGTTTCAGGTAGCCATCGTGATATTTGGTGGAAGGAAAAGAAATATCAGAAGCTCAAAGCAATAGATCTCTTGCCAGGTCTGGCAGCTGGTGTGTGAAGGGCCATCTCTATCTTTGAACATTGGGCAGTCGCAACAGTTTCCCCAGCTTCAATGTTACTGATGCAGTTGAAACATCATTGAGCCACTCTTGGAATAGCTGTGAGGTTAGTGAGTCAGGCTCTTCCAGCGCCTGCACCCGCTTAGCCACTTGCGTGGCAGGTTCAAACCTCCGGCGAAGGTGGGAAGGTGGAGACGGAGGCGGACAGAATGGGCAGCAGAATCGAAACCAGAAACCATCGGCAATGATCTACCTATTGAATGATTTCTATTGAATGATTTCTATTGAATGACCTATTGCATCCTATTGCATCCGCTCCGGAACACAAATTGCTGTGTCTTGGTTTACAATTTGCTCCATGCCATGGCTCGACTCCTCCGGTCTACCCGAATGGATCATCCTCCCGAGCCAACCGACCCTCCAAACCCGGTCCAGAAATGGGGGATGAGCCCCGAAGTCATCCAGCGCCTGGATTGCTGCCACAGGACCCGATGTCGACTGTGAGGGTTCTCATAAAAAACAAAACCTCATGGTTGAGAAAATCAGTTTCCCCCCTTTTTTGCCCTATTCTTGCACGCTTGACCCTTGACCGAAGTGGGAAGAATTGAAAGAGGCTGGAGCTGATGACAAAATTTCAGTTTCCAATAAAGGCCCAGGCTCCTGCAAGCAGGATTTAGTCATCTCCTTGGGCTGCGAAATCCTCGATGTGAGTGAACATATCCATGCAATGACAGGATGGTTTCAAAAGTCCCATCTAGAGGCTTTAAAACCCATGATTAAACCATGATTAACCCATGATTGAATCATGCGCTAAAGGTACAAAACGGTTAGCAAAAACATCTAAAACCGCATTGCCATTCCGTGGAACTGGTTCCAATTTGGGACCATTGAACTCACAGACCTGATCCTCTGTCACCTTTTTTCGTAGTCTCTTCCTGGGAGACCTTGTTCTTAGCCATTTAGGGTAGGAGTTTTGGGAGGAAAGGTTTGTTCTCACTGCCCTTCAAGCATCCCAAGTCAAAAGACATGAGGGTAGGGGTTCCATTCAACTTGCCATTCAAATCCATTTGGGATCTCTTGAGGGATTGGAAAGGGAATTCCAGATAATTTCATCTATAATATATATATATATATGTATATATATATATATCACTTCGCCCCTTTTTTCCACCATCCACTCGGTTTGCTTTGTGAACAGCTGAATGAGCAAGGGCCGTCAAGCCAGCTTCAACACCTACCAAAGAAATGTAGGCCACAAATTTCCAGGATGGCAGGATCGTTGATGCCATGGTCATTCAGTATTTGGCTTTCCATGCGTGATTGGGTCGGGAGCAGCCTTGCGGGGTGGGTGCACTTGAGAGGTGTACAACGGAGTTCAGAGATACGTGTCATCACTTCGCCCCTTTTTTCCACCATCCACTCGGTTTGCTTTGTGAACAGCTGAATGAGCAAGGGCCGTCAAGCCAGCTTCAACACCTACCAAAGAAATGTAGGCCACAAATTTCCAGGATGGCAGGATCGTTGATGCCATGGTCATTCAGTATTTGGCTTTCCATGCGTGATTGGGTCGGGAGCAGCCTTGCGGGGTGGGTGCACTTGAGAGGTGTACAACGGAGTTCAGAGATACGTGTCATCACTTCGCCCCTTTTTTCCACCATCCACTCGGTTTGCTTTGTGAACAGCTGAATGAGCAAGGGCCGTCAAGCCAGCTTCAACACCTACCAAAGAAATGTAGGCCACAAATTTCCAGGATGGCAGGATCGTTGGTGCCATGGTCATTCAGTATTTGGCTTTCCATTTACCAGTTCTTCCGTCCGTTTAACATCCGTTACTGTCACGCATGGAAAAGAAAGTGCCAAGCCTGAGAAGGTGGATTAGCACTTAGAAGAAGCTCTGCTTTATCAATCACCCCAAGAACAGAATCCGCAATTGTCAGCACCTTGTTATGATGACACAGGGACTCGCAAGAGGTAATTTTTGCTCAGACTTCATGGATGTAGAAATCCCACATTCTGCAATTAGCCCAACGTCCACGTTCCTGCAAAAAATCGCTTGACTCTACCCGCTGCATGATCAATGTAGCTGCACCTATATGCTTAAAGCCAACTCCAGGTCCCGTACCCCGTTATACGAGGACAGAGGCAGTCACAAGGCTCAGAGAGCTTGATGAAACCTGCTCTCAATGTACTCCAGAATAGGGCCACAAACGTTGATGTGGAGGCAGGGAGCCATAGAGAGTTTCGATCACACGTAGAAGGTCAGGCAAGTCAACCTTTGCAGACTGGTGCCAAGCTGAAGAGAGCCGAATCTTTTGCCCTAGGCAGACCAGAGCCCAGGCATTAGGGTCTTGTCGCCGTCATTCGACAAAAGCAAGTCACTACGTGTCGCAGCTAAAAGTTCGCCAGGTCTTAGAGACCAGCCCACAGAAAGCGATTGCAATTGCAAAATGGGTCCAGCTCCAGAAAATGCTAATGGTGATCAGGGCAAGGAAGACAGAGCCTGGCCTCACACTATGGAAATGGACACTTGGCTCATGTTTGTCCCACGCAAAACCAAAATTCCAAGTTCCCTAGAGCATCTCTGAATGCCGGCTCCCAGGATGTAATTGCGTTCAGCGTCCCGGCGAACTCCCATAGCTTTTAGCATTGGCATACATGGATCATCCATACCTTTCCAAAATGATAGAGAAGCCTGCAACGTACATTGATGTCGCTCCGCATGGTCAAATTATCCAGACCCTCTTCAGTAAACCAGATTGTAAAATCATCCAGAAGCTGTGAACTCCTTTGCTGAGTCGCAGACAAAACCGGGCCACCAGGTGGTACAGCTGGACGTCCATGCCTGAACGCCGCTTTCGTCCTTTCACCAAAAGCCCTTGGAAACATAGGCATTGCCATGGCTCCGGGCAGCCGACCGAAAGCAAACAGGACGAAAATCCACAACCAACGGGGGCAGAAAGAACGAGGCAGGCAGAGCACCCTCCCCCAACCAGCAGCATCCCAGATGGCGACCGGATTGGACAGAGAGAGCGCCAGGCATTTAGCCCTCACCAGGAAAACCAAGGCTTGATCAAAATCCAAAAGGTCCTGCCTGAGGCCAGTGCTCAGTCCAACGGAGAACTTAGACTGAAGATACAAGGAGCGGACAGCATAGTAATGATAGCTGGGATCAAGGAGCTTAAAGCTAGCTTCCTCCAGAAGAGAGCCCAATCCTTTATTTGGCGATACGGACAACATATACAGCTCGACCTCATCCCACTCATTAATGCCCAACATGCCGCAGCGCCACTAAACTAAACATACCTAGTTGGGCTATCAGCAGGTGTTCCAACAAGTGGGAACATGAGGCAAAATGAGGTGAATCCCAAAAACACTTGTTGCAGCTCCTACTCTACGCGGAATGGCTGACAAGGCTCGTGATGAGCAACACCCTTTGGAAGTTGCACTACGTACAACATAACTGCTGGCAAGGGCAGCAGCACGGAAAGGTCTGCGTTGCGTACCTAAGTGGTTATCAACCGGAGAATGAAAGCTTCTTTCAGGATGTTGAAATGGCACATAGACTTATAAAACCGACAACTAAAGCCTTACCAAGAAAACGCAAGAGCAACTTCGTTAACCAGCAGGTTTCCACTCCAGAGGTTTTAATCTCCTGCACATCAACCCCCCATGCACAAACTTGGCGAATGTCCTGATTAAAATCGAGGGCAAGCGCCTCAACCAGCTTTGGAACATAGGTTGCCAATTTTTTGGTGAAGGCGCCTTCAATTTGAACAAGGGAGTGGTTGCGCATATACCTAGAGGAAACTACTGTGTGTCAACTTTGAAACCCCTAACATGAACGGCTTGAGGCGGCTTGACCCATAGACAAGAAACACATCTGAACTCGGAGAGGCAAACTAGTCGCTTAACAGCATTCTAACCTGGTAGGTGTTTCAGGTAAGAAGCAAAAGACGTCTCCATCAAACCAGCTGCATCGAGACTGCTGCAACACGCATCATTTAAGCACCACGTTGGCCTAACTGGCTTCCTAAGGCTGTTAGGGGGTCAGCAGGAAAACATCCAAAAGGCTGCTCTGGGCTCCTCAGCGCGCTAGCGCATCATATTGAGAAAATAATGCCTGGTGGAGACGCCAACACCGCTCCCAAGCGTTCGGCTGCCAGCATATGCGTAGTCATGACATGACACGCAAGCATTACTAGTTTAACTCCTCGGAAAATCCTATATCTAGGGGAGGGCCATTCACAAACCCATGCTCTGAGACAATTTTGGACACAAGCAATGCCCCTGAACAAACCTCATGAATTCATACTCAAAAGGAATTGGGCGCTCTGGGTCGGCAACCCCTTTGGGCGCGAATTTTCCATCTGAGAAAAGCCATGTTCACAGGACAACTTCTGCAGGAGAGAAAATACGAGTATCGCTTCCCTTACATCTGTAGCTTCTCCAGAGGCATGCACCGTTCGTACTGGGACAAACGCTACACGAATTGCCCCTGTTGTGCTGAAGGCATCCGTAGCGAAAAGCCAAGGCATACATCGGCACCCAAATCCGCCCACACCGCTTTGGCGGTGAAGGCGTGCTTATTGGGGGGCAACAGCAACACTAAATGCTCAATGACATTTGTTAATATAGCAGTCGCTATATCAGCTTTAGCTGGGGGGGGGGGGGCCAAAAACGGTTTCGCACCGAGACCAGACCCCAAAAACGGTTTCGCACCGAGACCAGAATACGGTGGTGTTTTCGACATTTTTCGAGGATTTTTGGGTGTCTGAGCGCAAGAGGGTATTGAAATGGAATTTTGGGTCATTTTGGTAGCTTTCCGGCAATGGAAAAACGGCCAAAAATGAAAAAAAAAACATTGTACATAGCAAGATTTTGCAGGGTTTTTGGATGCCAGAGCATTGAAAACACTGCAAAAACAAGTGTTTTGGACTGACGTTATAGCAAAAAAAGTGTAAATTACCGTATGCTTGACTGGAAACATTACAAAAACACTGTCAAAAGCAATGTTTTGGAAGGATTTACTGCCTTTATGGCAAAAAATTGGAAAAACACTGTCAAAAACAATGTTTTGGAAGGATGTCTTATATATATATATATGTTGGAGTTGGCTACCGGCATTGGAACATGGAAAAATCGAAGAAAACACTGTAAATAGCGGTATTTTCAACGGTTGGGGAGATAAGGGAATTGGAAGCATTGTCGAACATGATGTTTTCGACCGGTTTTATGGCGACAAAAGTGTAAAGTACCGTGCTTTGAAGGAAACCATTGCAAAAACATGGAAACACATTCACAGAACACGGGATTTGGGAGACTATCTAGGCGTCGTTGTCTAGCTATTTGAAATTCCGCAGCTTGGAGAGCCTCCAAGGGAGGGAAAAGTGAAAATTCCATAGCTTGGGAAGCTGTCACGGCGGGGAAAAGTGAAAATTCCCTAGCTTGGGCAGCCCCCACGGGGGGGAAAAGTGAAAATTCCCTAGCTTGGGGAGCCTCCACGGGGGGGAAAGTGAAAATTCCCTAGCTTGGGGAGCCCCCACGGGGGGGAAAAGTGAAAATTCCTTAGCTTGGGGAGCCCCCCACGGGGGGGGGAAGTGAAACTTCTTAGCTTGGGGAGCCCCCACGGGGGAAAACCACCCTTAGCCCCTCTCACGGACCGAAATAAACCTGCGGTGTGGGCGGCCACCCCACGCGAAGCGGGGTGAATAGCAAACTGGGCAGTTAGATCAGCGCAGTTCTGGTCTACCAAATGATAGCTCTCGCAAAAATTGACAACAGAGGGCGCCTGTAGGCCAAAACGGCACCCCATCCACCCAGAAGGCATAGATGTAAAACTATAATATACGTCCTTCAACGCTAGCAGTGAAATAATCATCAATGACCAGTCCCTGCAGCAGGGAAGAGGACTGCAAACACCTAGATGCTGTCAAACGCGACCTATCATCCAGAAGATCATATGTTGCAAATCTTCCAAGAGCATCAGTAGCTATATCAACTCAGCGTAATCTCCCTGGAATACTGTTGCAAAAATCCCATAGTTTGTCAACGGACAAGCTTTCAGCCTCCGATACCTCACCTAGGTATCCCAGAAAAATGAGTGCAAGCCATCTCCACATTTGTCACGACTGCCTCGCTTTTTCAGGGAATAGGCCAAGCAAAAGCAGTGTATGCCTTAGTGCCTCTCAGCAGCCCTCGATAAATTGCTGGTCCAACCGCATTTGTCCCTGAGCGTGCATCCAGAACTGGTGACCATAAACCTGCAAGCTGCGATGACCAAAAACATCTTCCCCTATGCAATATCAAGGGAAATCCATGATGTCAGCGCCACAAGGTAGAGCCGAAAAAAGGGCCCTCAGAGACGGCATCCACAGGAGTTTTGGCCTCTCCCACACCAATCTGTCTATCCACTTCAGGGCTCTTGTAGCAGTTGAAAGACTTAAACCAAGGGGCCGTGGGGCCTATCCCCATCATGCAGACGAAGGAAATCTCATCTCACATGTGTGCCAGCTTGCTTACCTCATTCTCGCTGCCTCGAGCCTTGGGGTGGCAACCCAATGCAAGGCCAGCAAGAAGACCTCTGGGTTCCTGATAATCCATCACCAACTCATCACTAAGGAGGGAAGTTACATCCCAGCGGCCAGAGCCATGCAAAGGGAGACGATCTGCATTCAAAGGACAAAGAAGAGCAAGCTCATGAATCCAGTCCTCCTCATGCGGACCAGGGATTTGGCCAATCCCTTTACATAACTGCAGCAACTGCCTCCCTGGGCTGTAAGCAAAATGCTAAGTTCAAAAAACGTGCAATCAATTCAGGATGTTTGCGGCCAGACCTAGCCATTGTAAAAGACTGAGCCTCACCGTCCGACTTGATAATAGAAGCCTCACGCTGATATAGAGCACGATGTTCAGCGTAGGGCTCCCTCTTCAACAATTCCTCAGAAGGCCATTTCCCCCCTAACTGCCAGAAATCCAGTGCCATGCAAATGGTATGAACAGCCCGACGCAAGTGAGTCTTCCTTCTGTAAGTGGAGGAAACAATTGAAGGCATCCTGTCAAAAATTCCACCAGCGGGCAGAGGGACAGGGAAACAAGTCGGTATCGAAGTTCAATATGTTGAAGAACTCCGAAACAAATGGATGGTCGTGCTCAAAAAGATAAAAGGAGGACCCTACTCTTCAGCACCACAGGAACAACGAAGCGCACCACTTGAGTACGACATAATCATGGAACCAGAGAGATGTCCTTTGTAGAAATTGAATTCTCCACATGCTTCACCGTGTGCTGGGATCCCTCCTCGCCCTTAGCTGCTTCCTGTCACTGTGCAAAAACTATCAGGGGCAGCATAGACGAAGTTGAAGGAATACCAGGAACAAATTACTGCAAGTTTTGACAAGCCCCTCATTCAAGGGGAAATCTCCCCCCCTGCTTTCGGCTTCTTGGGAAAACGCGGCTTCCTTTTTGGGCTGGCCGGAGCAGCAGGATCGCTCTCACCGGTTGTGGCTTTTGCCGGAGGGCGGCGCATCTCTACCTTGCGGGTAGAGAGGACTTCTATTTCCTTCAGGTAACTCAAGGCCACCGCCGCCCACTGAGGAGGAACTAGAGGCGAGAAAGGGCGGCCTGACGACGCCATTGGCTGCTGCCTCTCGCTGAACAACTGCTGAGGAGGTTCCTCCATCAAGGACAGAATGTAAGCTATATTCCACCCCCCATCCAAAACACTCTGCTCTAGCGAGGCCGCCAAAAGAGCCATATACTCCTTCGTGGCATGGAAGTCCTCCTGAGCCGCTGCATCCATTGCATGAGCTAGGATCCACATTATGAGCCCAGCTTCTCGGTTGTTCTTGAAGCCCCCATATCGTTCCAGATAACTAGTCATAGACACATCTGCCTGCGACAGTTCTTCCGCTGTCCTAGGGACAACCCTGGCTGGGTTCATTCTCTTGAAGAGCTGCTGTTGTACCTGTAGGAAGAAAGTTGAAGTCCGCGAAGCCAGCTCCGACTGCAACTTCTCTCGTCTGGCAACGCCTTTAGTACCAAAACTCAGGCCGGTCGTGCTAGAGCTGCCTGCCAGATCTGACATAGGATCCCCTCCAGTCAAATGAGCCACCAATTGTGTAAGGGCCATGCTCTGCTGAGACAGTGTCTGCTCCATCGTCATCTCTCCAGAAAATCCAGGGCCGCCCTGGATCGGGACGGCGTTCGGACCCACACCTGCTACGCTCTGTTCTGCTGCTGCTTTGGTCTTTGGAGGTGGACCCAAAAGAGTAGCAGCCACTTTCGGGGCAGTACCACCTATGAGACCAGAGGACAGGGCAGGCATAGTAACTGGAACAACTCCACTTCGCAGCTCTACTGCAGGTGCGGCATGCCCACTCAATTGTTGGCCTGCGACGGCCAGAGATTCTTGGTGCGCCATAACTGCTTGCAGTTGTTGTTGCACTGTAAGTAGCTGGGCCGAAAGGCCAGCAATGGTAGGCTTGGCTGCCCTCTTCTGTGCCGCCTTCTTTGGGGAAGGCACAACGGGCAGATCCGGCTCTTCTCGAGCCGAGTAAAAGTTCAGCCTTTCATGGGCAAGATTCTCAATCCACTCTGCCACTAAAGGGAGAGCTGTCAAAACTTTTGGCAGTGCATTGGGCTCATTCTGCGAAAAGGGAAAGATGTCTTCAGTGGAGTCAGTGACTGGGTCATATTCACGCATGTCTGTAAGAATGCTGTCTTCAAGGTCAACAACAACAAAAGTCGAGGACACACCCAGCTCAATGACACCACTGCCCGTATCATCTTCAATGATCAACTGTGCTGAAAACTCACGTGATGGCCCCACCAAACCAGGCTCGTCACGCATCATCGCGTCAAGCAACATATCTGCAGAAAGAGATTTTTCAGGAAGAGCATAAAGGGCTCCACCAGGTCTTGACATCAAGGGCAACGCATAGATCTGAATTCCATCAGCTCCTTCCTCCGTCAGTGTGGCCGGAACTCTCCACACCAATAAAGAAGGATCACCTCCTTTTGCAAATTTTACCAGGGACTTATCCATTTGTCCAGTTTGGGGACAAAGGACCCAGCACCTGCGCAAAACACGATCAATTCAGAGATGGATCGAAATCCTTCCCAAACACAATCCTCCTCCACACTGATTGCAACTTCAAGGCACTTCCTGCTGGTGACTCGCCTGTTTATGGCGGGTGTATGCCTGTAAAGAACAACCCAGTGATTCAATTCCTCGTCCTCAATCTTGGCCGTGCGATCAAAGGGAGTGCTGGTCGACAGGGCAATCCTGGCCAAAAAACCTGTCACGTAAGCTTTCCTGGCACGATCAACAACCTCCTCAGGATCACAGGGAAGGGAGCGAGCAACCACACGCACACACTCCTCAGGTGTGTCAGGAAACCCGTCTTCTAGACTATGAAACCTTTGCAGTGCTTTCAAGGCTGTGAACTCCTGAATAGGAAGAGGAGGAAAGCCGTCGTCCACCAAAACCCAATCACCAAAGGCTTGAGGTGCCAGCAAGTCCGCAATTGCCTCTGCTAGCTCTACGCACTCCACTTGCAACCTGTCAGCTCGTCGGGACAAAACCTTAAGCTGGGCCTGGAGTCCACTACTCATCCACCGGCAGTGGCCCTGCAAGCAAGTGTGCCTTCTGAGGCCAAGGATATCACGATGGAAGGAACTCGGAGGATCAGATGCACTAGATGCCGGGGAAAAACAAACGGACTGGAGGTGGAAGAAAGTCCAAAAAAAGGCGGCAAAGGCGAGGGTGTCCCCACAGAAAAATCCAAGAGAAGTCCAAATCCAAACAAGGGGACCCCAAGACCGCCAGGAAAGACAGGGCAGGACAGACCCCACACCAGCTCCAGCAGCACCCCGGCACACGCAGAAGCCCGCTAAATCCAGGTTCGTGCACTTGAGAGGTGTACAACGGAGTTCAGAGATACGTGTCATATATATTCGTCCGTCAAACACGCAGTGCCGAAGGAAGTAGCCAATGTGTAGCCAATCTTTTTCGAGGCAGCACAGTGGCCGGTTTCTTTTGATGATTTGATTTGGACATTGGACCTCTATGCAACCATGCTCCGTCTCAACCAAAAAAAAAAGGATTGATCAAAACCGCACCTCACGCATGCCAGTGACTTTGCCCTTCAATTGTTCATCAAACAAGACCATGAACTTTCTCAAACTGTAGAACATCTTGGTCTAAGAATTGCATGCCACTGCTTTTCAATCGGTCTTCTCATTCAAACATGACATAACATGACCATATATGCCATACAGTGTCTGGACCTTAAGCAAATGGGAGTTACAAGCGCACACATTTGACTTCGGAGACTGTTTGTCACCGAACCTTGCTCATGTCTTTGGCGACTTTCTCTTCAAAAACGTTTGCCCTTGGCTTTGTTCTTAGGCCCATCACTGCAAGCTTTTGTTTGAAAACCTGCGTCCTCCGAATCCTACAAACTTACAACCCTGAAACCCCTTTGCGGGCCTTTTCGCCTTGCATCTTAGCAGGTTTGTTGTTTGAGTAGGATCCACCTTCAGTTTATCCTTGGCCACCTGTGCTGGGACAATCTTGTTTCCTATACTGTACTCGGTAATCATACATCTCATGAACCGGAAGTAAGAATAAGTGTGAGAAGCTTAAGGTAACTGGGTTTGGAGAAAACCTTGGAAACCTTGGTGATTATGGGAACCATTGGGACCTGGAAAAAAACCTACCAATTCAGGCTGTGCTAGATCTGTTTCATGACATGCTACGACAGCGGCCCCAAGCTGTTGCGGAAAACATGGAGAGAAGATGCGCCAAAAAGCTCAGCCCAATGGGGCAAGCTGCAGCAAGGCGCTCTTATCTTGCCACTTGTGTCTTGTCATGTGTAGAACAAAACATGAAGATTGCCAGGCCTCTTTCGTTGGCTTCTTGCTTAGAAGCTCCTTTCTTGCAAGGTCAGCTTTGAAACGCAGCCATGATGCTGCAAGTGGCAGAATTAGTATTCCAGTATCCTGAACACAGAACTCATGGCGCTGAATGGGGGAATGATCAGACGAGTTTAGATTTCAGATGTGGAATTGTGGCCATGGGCGAGTCAAGTCCTAGGTACTTCCCAGCGGCAGTGGTGTTCACCTGCAGGTGCACCTGATGCGGAGGTTCATTAACGCTACTTTATTAATAGGTCTAAACATTGAAGGATGCAACAAGATGCAAGAGATGCAAGAGAAAAAGTGTCAAAAAGTGTCAAAAAGTGTCAAAACGTCCTTCCTCTTCGAATCCGAGAGATGTTGCCATGGCTGTAACCTTAGAGATGACGCCAGCAACACCAGACTTCAACGCCTTTTTGAAATCGATCAGCCTTTGAGCAAAGTGCAAGCTTGCGCTCGGAGCAAAAGAAGACAGTAAGAATAGTTTCAAAAGAATGCTATGGAGACAGACACTGAAATGATCTGAAATACAGCTGTACATTGTTGGGAGATCTTGGGAGGTGTCGCCACGTTTTCTGAGGGCCCTGGCCCGCGGAACATCCATTTCTGCGCCATTGCCCCACGCAGATTTCGACGTGTCTCAGTCACGATCAAATCTCACATGACATGATTTCAGAAGCGATGCAGAAGAACAGCTTTGGTTGAAAATGACATCATCAGCAATTTTTGGAGGATGTAATCTTTGTGAATTTCACACCAATCATATCCAATCATAATCATGGAACAATTCATGTTGACAAAAAAATCACACGGGACAGTTTTTCAAAATGTCACATTGCCAGGCTCTGCTGAGCCCACATTGCCATTGAGGGCAAGGCCAGCACTGCCAGCAGGAGCACTCCACCTGCAAGCATGCCCAGCTGCCAGTTATGGCCAGGCCAGCATTTCCCGACCTTGAATTGTTTCATTCCATTAGTCGCTGTCAAAACGAGAGGAACTCCGACCTCTGCATGTCGGCAACAAAGCAGAACACTTTGGGAAAGCGGCTCCAAGATGGCTGCGGATCAACACAATTTGGCACCACATTTCTTGCGCAAACATTCAGGCAGAGACAGATTCCACTGTATACAAGTGCACGCGTACAAGTGATATGTCATGATACAGCATAATATCAGGTACTGTACTAATTTCAGTTTTCATCAATGGGTCTGACTCTGATATCAGCATAAGAACTTGCTTTCCTTGCTGGACTTTTCACTGAAAGGGCCACTCTGTGCGATGCTACAATAATCTCAGCGAAGCCATAAAGCTTAGGATCAATTGACCGCAGCAAGGCGTTCAGCATTGCGGGCTGTGTGCTCAGCATTGCGGGCTGTGTGTTCAGCATAGCTGGCTGTCCGGCTGGCACTGCGAGCCTCTGATTGAGCTTGCTGCGCTGTCATTTCCGCCTGGTTGGCTCGTCTGTTTGCCTCTTCTGCCACGCTCATGGCCTGCGCTGCAGCATGACCAACCTCCTCAAACCTCCGATTTGATCGGTCAACAATTTTTTTTAGCTCTTCTCGATCTTCTTTCCGATTTTGCTGCAACAACTGCGTTACATATATGATGCCAGCTTGGACAGGCAGCTCGGGTGAGTAAATGATGTCGAGAGATGGACCACTCAAGACATTCAGAGGTAAACATCTCAGAACTTTGATGGCAAAAGCTGCTGCATCTCGATCCAGCCCAACCAACTTGCACCACCTGGCAACCAGGCCCACAGCTCTGAAGCAATCTTCTTCCTGCAAAGTACCCCAAACAGGGCACCAAACTTCTGGAAATTTATCCTTGAAAGTTGAATCCTCGCATTGTTCCATTCGCAGCAGAAGAGTGCTTGAAAGGAAGGGTTCGCTCCCTCTCAAATCCATGAGTTCCTTGAGCCATTCCACAGGTATGGTCTCGACGATGTTGGTTGGTAGGTTGGTCCCTGCAAAGCAAAGAGAAAATAAGGTCTGTCCTACCTGAGCATCACCAGTCTCATACAGCTCCCCATCTACAACATGAGAAAGTGTCTCTCTGACATTTTTGGAGGCACAAATGGCAGCATCTCCCTGACAAATGGCCCAACGCAAAAGGGATTGAATCTTCTTGTGATCTTCCCGAATGATGGCTACAATCTTTTCTGGTCCTCCCCAAAAGTCCAAGAGCTCTTGGAAAATGGCAGCGCGATGTTCTGATGCCATGTTTGCGAGGAAGAAGACAGAGATATCTTTTCCCAAGATGAAAGGTACAAATGACTTGTAGTCTTCCTGGCTTGCCCAAGTCAGCAATTTGGTGAGCCGATCGACCTCATATGACCTGGACAAGCATGCTATCAGAAGTGTCCTTGCCTCGGTGGTAGGTACACGGTCTCTTCTTTCACAACAAACGTCCAGGCAACGATCAAACTCTTTTGGTGTCAGTCTGTCCTCATGCGTCAGTAATACACCCAAAGCGAAATTTTCAGCACGGAGGCTGTCGGGCAGAAGAGGCAGCAATCGGTCGCCAAATGCAGCGGGAGCAGGACATAGTTTCTGGGGCAGCAAAGCTCGAACTAAGTCCAAATCCGCGACTGCTCTGGAACAAAAACCATGTGACAAGGCTGGCTTCGACAGATCCTTCAGCAATGTCAGAAGATGCTCCCTCCATGGCGTCAAAGCGTCGCAAAAAAGGGCGAAAACTACCAAGGTTACAATGTCCATGTGGTTTGCTTTGGCAATCAGTTGCTTGGAGTGAACCATGATCCTGTCAGCCGTTTCTTTGTCATTTTGTTTCATGGCATAGCACAAGCAAAGTTGGCAATCTGCCACTGTCTTCAACCAGTGCAGGGAATCTGGAGATGTGTAGCCACGCAGCTGGCAAGCTTGCAGCAAGAAGCCTGCATCATCCAATAGCTCAGCATCAGCATACCGCAGAGCTGCTTTGGAGTTCCGCATGATTTCCAATATAATTTCGCTAGACTTCCACACCGTTTTGGGGATCTGTTCAAAGTCCCTCTCAACAACCGTCCAGTCAGAAGTAATCCGTTCCATCCACAATGCCACTTCTGGGTTACGCAGTGCCAAGAAAATTTCCAGCACAACATCAGCGCTTTGAAGGGTCTCAATCAAACATGCGTCATGGAGAAGCCTCTGCTTGAAAGACCAGCACTGCTCACGAACAGGGATGCTGATAGTTTTTGCTAGTTTTTTTTTGCCTCCAGGACTGTCCACTTTTCACCAACACCAATCTCTACTGCATCACCGGACATTTTGCAGACTCTCAGGGTCGCAACAGGCCTCTGGCAAGCACAGGTGGAATTTTTTGCTCGTTCCTTCCACTGGTTCATCATCAGCCACCCAAAGCCAGAGGCTCGCCACAACATCGTTCCCGGACAGTTGTGCCCTTCACCATGTGGACAAGACTGATTTTCCTGCCACTTTGGAATCTCTTGCACAAAACGACAGGAGCTGCACTCTACAAAGCACGTCCAACCGGCTGCCGACATGGCCCACAATCGTTTTTCTTCTGTGTCCGACAAGTGGCAAATGACCCCAAAGACTCCCAAAAATATTGTGTCAGGCCGCAGGCCTGTAATTATCTCAAATATTACCTGGTGAGTGAGAAGAAAAACTGAACACTTTTACAAATGTCGGTCCAATATCAGGAGGTTTTCCTTTCCTCCTTCTTGGGAGCTCACCAGGCTCCTGGACCCCTGGAAAGTGACCCCAACACCTCACATTTGCAAGTAGGGAAGACCCTTACACTCAGTGAAACACGATGAGCATCTCAAACAACAACAAAAAAAACATAGAGCAAGGACTAACTCATAGAAGAAACGCTGTCTTTCCTTACTTGCAATTACTAAATTCTTTGTTTGAGTATCAGGTTTCAAAACTGTCGGGTACCACCTCGACCGCAAAAACGTTCACTCTGGTGCACACAGCCACCAAACTCAGCGAGATTTTACCGAAGCCGAAGAGGCCACGCATAATTTTTTTGCGTTCTGATGCCTTGACACTGGAGTTTCCTTTCTGCCAAACTGCAGTCGTGAGATGTCGTGAGGCCTCATGATTTCAAAAAAACTTCTAAAAGTCATGTTGACAGATTCGACACATCAAATTTGACATGTTTGAATTCTGAACTTCAAGCAGCTGCACTCCGCATCCTTTTCTATCAAATCGGGGGAAGAATCAAGGTTTGAGATTCGGATATCTCATTTGATGTCTGTACATGGATCTTTCCGACCTGCTGACATGGTTCCATCGGTTTGGGGGACTTTGGATGTCCGCTGAAGTCAAGTCGGGATTGGTTCGGTTTCCACCTTCCCCCTTCTTCAAACCGAATCTGTGACTGCTTCGGCTCTGTTCTTGGCAGCTTGGACAAGCCAACCCACTTGCTGACACTGGAATCCTTGGTGAAGTCAGCAGACCACTCGACGAGGCACCACCTTTGTGGACACACCCCACAGGCTGCGATTTTGTTAGAGGGAGTAAACTAATCGCCAAGCCGCATGTCCTGCAAAACAGAAGCCTTACCAAGCTGCAGGTGTTGCTTCTTCAGAGTCTGTGGACACCGGTGGAAGCCCCCAACAACAACAATGACCATACACCTTGGTCCAAGACTTGCGATCCTGCCATTGTTTTCTGCGGTCAGCATGCGAGCCTCCAGCTCCCCAGTGCCCCAATCCTCCCTCTGCTGGAAGCGCTGCAACGGCGACTGGGCATTGACCCTGGCAACGCAGAACTAGCAATCAACGAAGTGCTTGCTAGCCATACTGACCCCCAATACACTGCTTGGAAAATCACTGTCATGGATAACACCTCCTGGCAACTCAATGACGCTGACCCAGGGTCCCTGGAAGTTCAGTGCACTGGGTTGGGTGGAGGAGAACTCGATGAAGACTGGGACGTACTGCTAGCCTGCAAAAAGGAAGCACATGTTTACGGGCCATCCCTGAGCAAACAGGACGATTGGAATGCAAGAGCTGGCACAGTAGCAGGCACTGCTCACACACAAGAATACTTGCTCCTGCACATCGCCATGTTTCCCATAGGTGCACACTTCTGGTGCCGCGTCTTAGGCATGCCCAGTGCGAACCAACTGCAAGCGCAGATTATCAGTCGGGCCATGAAGCTGTTGCACTTCTGTCCCATCACTCCAGCACACAGGAAACCGCCGTGGCCCGGGTACATACATGGCCTGCGACTTTTCACTAAGTTGCTAGTTGCACACCCGCTAGTCGGAGTATGTCTGCCCCCTGAAATCCGCCCAGTCGATCTTCTGAGATTAACAGGATACATGGTAGGCTCCATCTACATTCGGGGGCACAGCGCTGGCTCGTACGCAGGAATGGTATGGGAAACTATCCTCTCAGAATTCCCAGACGTTGGTGGCAAAACCGTGCTAGCAGCCATTGCGCTACCACCATCGCTGCTCACGACATGCAATTTATCTCAGCTGAGAGAGATCCACCTCATTCACCATGCAGATGACAGGCTCTGCGTATGGAACCCGTCAAACCATGACATCAAGCTGCTTAGGCAACGGGGCTTTAAAATTACGCATATCACAGGATGGAGAGCGTACCTCGGTACTGCACAACATAACTACTCGCATTGGACAAGAGTTGCCCTCCCAGAAGGACGACCAGATATGGAGCAGTTAGAAGGTACCCCTGGAGTGCTCCCCTTCGAAGTGTACTCACAGGCTCCCCTCCGTCTGATCTCATGGTGCAGCTTTGAGCTCTCAAGAACTGCCAGAAAACTCCTGCGTGAATTAGCGGAAATGTGTGAGCTACCTGAAACCACGACACAGGCACTTGTTACACACATTGCTGCCCACAATTCAGAGGTCAAAACTGAGCAAGAGGCAACCCAATACTTAGCCACGTTGGCAACAGTCACCATCTCCTCAAGGTCCAAGTTGCTCAACTATACCACCATGGTACAACATTTCCTTGGCACCTTGCAATTGCCCCTGGCTGTCTACATGTTAGACTACTACTTGCCCATGCTCAGTCCAAAGGAAGGCTATAATGAAACAGGGTTAACAATGCAAAGTGCGGGCCCTATCCGGCAACCATCGCAACCCATCGCCCTTGAATTCCTCTTCAAAGGCAGCGAGTTTGGACATTGGAAAGTTAAAGGCGGGCAGGATGCATTCGCGTTCCGACACCCAAGCCTGGGCAAAACTGAAGTGTTCAGCCTGCTGGCCAGCGATGCGCACCATCACAAAGTCAGCCCCATTGGCACGGGTAGGCTCATTGCCATGGTGGGTACAGCGGACGCACTAGCTTATGATGGAGATGACCTTCAAATCCTTTTTGGCTTGGTCCTCGCCATCACGCCACGCGCAGCCAAAAAAAAGGATGAGCTGGCTGCCTCACGCATATACAGACAGTGCAACCCTAAATTCATCGAAGTTGCTTTCCTCTCAGGACCGGCCATTGAGTTTTTTGCAAAGGAACAACTCGAAGCCCAGGGCAACAAAAGATCACATTTCTTGCATTTGTGCGGCCAGTTGCTCCGCCTAGTGCTAATTCCATGTCACGTGGAGGGCGAGCTTCACCCTTGGACTCGCTCCACTGCACTTTCCTTTGCCGCTGAGCTTGACGGACACGTTTTAGGCACACTCTGCGCAGTGACAATGGCGTTGCTCACCAACCGGCTAGATCTGTGCATCCAAGGGCTTTTCGGAGCAGGCAAGTCGAAATCGATGGCAATCCTCATCCTGGCCTTGATCGAAATCGACACTACCGACAGCCTCAAAATATTGTTCATTTGCAAAGAGAACTCCGGCACTCGATCCTTTGCGGACCTCCTCCTATGGCTCGACCCCCCGTCGGGGGGGTTTGGGCGCATAGGTAGGCTGGTGGGAGACCAAGAGCGCAACAAAAGCAGTTACTCGCACACGAAATTTGATATCCACCCGAGAGAAAGAAGGCAAATGCTGAACAAGTGTCAATTAATATTAGCCACCGGGGGAACGGTAGCCCAGGATCTTACCATGCAATGGGCCACAATGAGTGGATTCATGCAAGAGCTCTCCCTCCTGGTCATTGATGAAGGCCAGCAGTACGGCACTGGCCGCGAAATTGCAGTTATCAGCCTGCTGAAACAGCAACCCCTGGTCCTCTGGACAGGAGACTCGGAGCAGACCCCTGGCGGTATTGATCGGGCAGCTCGCAACGCCAAACGGTCACGACAACTACTGTTAGCTAAAAAGCATGGCCTGCGAAGCGACCGCAACTACTACATGCCCGCCAACCTTGCCGATGCAATGATCCGACTGCTAGATGGTTCGGCGAATGAAGGCTTAACGGCTCTTAGTCAAATCCTCAAACGAGGCCAGTCCACATTAGGTCAGCTATGGACAAGTCACCTCTCGCCGCAGGATGAGGAAGACCTCAGGGCAGCCAGCACTGTGCTCCCAGGCCTCAAAGCCGTATTTGAAGCAGCTCAACCAAATATGCAACGATACTCCCGATTCGTAGACTCGGAACTGCTGGCGGGTACCGCTCTCAATTTTCCACGGTCTCTCGTGCGCCTTGCCTGGATTTTGCAGCATGCTGCTACCCTCCTGCCCATGGCTGGTGACATACAAGCAGTCTTAAACTCCCAGACCGCCGGTGTAAGTGACATCCATGCCTGGGGGTTAATGCTTCCGTCCAGCTCCAGGGTTAGTCCTGTGACATACCATGCAGTGGTTGCAGTTAGATATCCTAATCTTTGCAGGAAGATCAATGGCCTATGGGAACTAGGAAGTTTTGCTTCGGGAGGCCTTCCCGACAAGCCACCCGGGTTCCAACTAGTGCTCTGGGATACTAATGCTAGGATCAACGGTTTGGTAGCGACGGATTTAGAAACTCTTGTGTCAGAAGTACTCAGCCCCTTTCCTCACAATGCTGGATTTGCCGATGGACTTTTCACAATGACCACAGCAACTGATCATAAGAACAATTTGAACCGCTCCGTGCTCAAAAGAGATTATGTTCGCACCCTGCGTGTAGAAACAATAGCCAATTCGGCAGGAGGAACAGCGCAGGTATCAATC